TCAACTTCTTTCACGAAATTCGTCGGTCATCAGAGGCCATCCCAAACCACCCCTTAAGGCTTCTGCAAAATTTCGAGGAAAAATAAAGAACTCCGCATTCTTCGCCACCCTATGAAAGTTCGATCGTCAACCAGTTTCCAAGTACTAATTTTCACTGTAGCGATTATGGTTATAGCCAATCGTGGGCTTTAATTCTACCATAATTTAATCACAGATTTATTCGCAGTTTCTAATTTTTCGACGACCCTTTTCAATTTCTTCACCGAAATTTGTCGGCCATCAGAGGCCACTCCAAACCACCCCTAAATGCTGCTGCAAAATTTCGAGGAAAAATAAAGAACTCCGCATTCTTCGCGACGCCATGGAAGTTCCATCGGCAATCTATTTCTAAATACTAATTTTCACTGTAACAATTATGGTCACAGTCAATTGTGGGCTTTAATTCTACCATAATTTAATCACAGATTTATTCGCAGTTTCTAATTTTTCGACAACCCTTTTCAATTTCTTCACCGAAATTTGTCGGCCATCAGAGGCCACTCCAAACCACCCCTTAATGCTGCTGCAAAATTTCGAGGAAAAATAAAGAACTCCGCATTCTTCGCGACGCGATGGAAGTTCTATCGGCAATCTATTTCTAAATACTAATTTTCACTGTAACAATTATGGTCACAGTCAATTGTTGGCTTCAATTCTACCATAATTTAATCAGATTTATTCGCAGTTTCTAATTTTTCGACAACCCTTTTCAATTTCTTCACCGAAATTTGTCGGCCATCAGAGGCCACTCCAAACCACCCCTTAAACGCTTCTGCAAAATCTCGGTGAAAAATCAATCGCGGGGTGAAGCCACCCCGCATTCCTCGCCACGCCATGGAAGTTTGATCGGGAACGGACGAACGAACGCGACGCAGGGGGTAGTTTTTAATCCACGGCGCGGAGGAAGTGACTAAAAACCGAGGATCCCCGCGGAAGTTTCGCCACAGAGGCGCGCGAATTGGCCCGACGTCAACCGCGAAGCAGGTATTTTCTCTCGCCGGGGAAAGCGAGCGGGTCGAGTGAAAATAACGGCGGTGTGCAGAGTCGTTAAAAGTTGAGGGGATTAGCCCCGTCGCGGAGTTAATGCCGAAGGCTCGATCCGAGCGGCATTCGCCGATTATAAGCGTAATTCGACCGAGCGTTGCAGCTGTTCCATCGCTCTTCTTCCCTCTGTTCCACTCCTTTTCGATCCATCCTTTTCGATCCCGAGCCTCTTCGACGGAACCATACCAGTCATCGGGCTAATTAACTTGGCGTGGGTGTAGCAGGGTACAGTTGGCTTTATGGCAACGTTTCTTTTCCAGCAGATCGATGTTGCAGGGTGCGGGGGAACATTCGTCGGCTGGATGCTATTAGTTAACCGAAGCAACGAAGGTTGGAGAACGGGGAATCGCGAAGGTAATCTAAGTTTCGAAATAAATGGATTAGAAGAACCGAATTCTGATCTTTGAAGAGAATCGGAGCCATCTTTGGTCTAGCCGCTGCCAAGAACTTCCTCGAAGAATTTTTATTTTGATTAAAATCGTGCTATTGTAGCTCGGTTTTCCGATTCTATTTCCTCTTTCATTTTCTCAAGCATCGACCGTTTGATCGGCTGTGATATATTTGGCCACGATTAATACGATCGTTTCTAAACGATGTCAATCGAAATTAAACGTCTTCAACTGTCAAACTGACTTTTGCACACACGCATTAGCTGCGTTTCGATTCTACCCAGGAACGAAATCTGCAGGAAAATTACACGTGGTAAAAATTGCAAACTTCTCTACGCCCGATTAAATTTAAAAATTGGAAAATTTATATTTCAGAGCGATATTTTATAACTCCGCGTTTCGTCTCCGGGACGCGGTAAAGCCGCACCGCCATCAGAAGTTGCGATTAAAACTGCAGCATCGCGAAGCTGACATCTGAACTTGCCAAGTGTATTCGCTGTCTCTTCTTTTCTAAGGGTCCTCGCAAGAATCATCCTCCGCGACGAAATTTCCCAGGAAAGTACGTCGAAAAGCACACGTGTCAGCGTGGGAACTTGCCACGAGAGGTTTCCAATAAGATCAGAGACGATTGCGGGATGTCACGGCGGAAACCGTGAACGGGGGACACGTGTCAAGGTGCGATTTGAACAGTGGAGACGCGCTAATGTCCCGTCTATTTGGCCTCCACGCGTCGATTCAGCTTTGATCCACGAGCGTGTCGCGCAACGCTCACTACACGGCCAACACGCCCTGCGCGCCGGTAATTTAACTTCCGGTACTCGTGTGCATCCGCCAGCAGGGAGGATGGAATTCACGGTCACGTCGCGATTTCGTCCCGTTTTATTCCGAGCGATTCGCGTTATCGTCAGTCCAGGCTGAATCGACCCGTGATCGGGATAATGTTCGGAAATTGCGCTTCGACGCGACGCTGTCCCACATTCTAAGGCCACGATTGTGATATCGTAACGCGGTATCCGAATGATTCATGGAACTAGACCTGGATATCGGACCGTCGGACCGATCGCGTGATCGTGACATACCCAAGACCTGCATCGTCATTGGCAGAGAATAGACTGTCAACAAAGGGATTGGATTCCACTATTTTCCGCGCCATCGACAATCCAACTCTCTCGATTCAACCATCAGATCGATCGAATGATTTTGACAAGTCATACCTAATGGCTGCATCACCATTGACAGAGAATAGACTGTCAACAAAGGGATAGGATTCCACTAATTTCCACGTCATCGACAATTCATTTCCCCCCGATTTAACTGTCAGATCGATCGAATGATCTTGACAAGTCATATTCAAGGGCTGCATTACTATTGACAGAGAATAGACTGACAGCAAAGGGATAGGATTCCACTATTTTCCGAGTCATCGACAATCCAACTTTCTCAATTCAACCGTCAGATCGATCGAGAGATGGGAACAAGTTATAGCTAAGACCTGCATCACCATTGACAGAGAATAGACTGTCAACAAAGGGATAGGATTCCACTAATTTCCACGTCATCGACAATTCATTTCCCCTCGATTTAACTGTCAGATAGATCGAATGATCTTGACAAGTCATACCTAATGGCTGCATCACCATTGACAGAGAATAGACTGTCAACAAAGGGATAGGATTCCACTATTTTCCACGTCATCGACAATTCATTTCCCCTCGATTTAACTGTCAGATCGATCGAATGATCTTGACAAGTCATACCTAAGGGCTGCATTACCATTGACAGAGAATAGACTGTCAACAAAGGGATAGGATTCAACTATTTTCCAAGTCATCGACAATTCATTTCCCCTCGATGTATCTGTCCGATCGATCGAGAGATGGTGACAAGTTATACCTAAGACCTGCATCACCATTGACAGAGAATAGACTGTCAACAAAGGGATAGAATTCCATTATTTTCCGAGTCATCGACAATCCAATTCCCTTGATTCGACTGTCAGATCGATCGAGTGATCTTGACAAGTCATACCTAATGGCTGCATCACCATTGACAGAGAATAGACTGCCAACAAAGGGATAGGATTTCACTATTTTCCGCGCCACCGACAATCCACCCCCCTCGATAAAACCTTGACCTCCAACGAATCCCCGTCGGCCCTTTCGACGAGCTATTTGTACGCAGCGGCGAATTTCCATGTAGCCGATAACCGAGGAGGGGTGCGCGAGGCAGGGGCCATGGGGTAGATCTCTATCAGCGGAACGGCTCGATCGCCGGCTCGACTAACGAGCGAAGCGTCGCTGAAACGTCGTCACGCGACCGACCTGCCCTCCCCCCGTTCCCGGAAACCCTCCCCAGTCCCTTTCTTAAACGTATGCATGACTCTCGACCGATTCGGCCCTGTTAACATATAAATTGCCGCTTAACGGCGAGACAATCAGTTGGCCGGGGATGCCGTGGCGCGAAGGTGACGATGGACGGTTAAAGGGAAGGACACGGAGAGCGGGGCGAGGGGGTGCGAGGCGGAGACACGTGACGAGCGGCAAGAAGACGAAGACGGATCGCGGAGACAGAGCCGGGGTGGGTAGGGTTGAAACAAGAGGCAGACAGGGCCCAAACAATGAGGGGGACAAGCGTCTGGAAGCGGTAGGACAAGAAGAGAAATAACAAGCGTGGGTGGCGGGTAGCGGAGCCTCCTGAGGGTGGGATTCAATTCAATTTCCTAAGAAACTCTTTAGTGTTTGAGATACAGCCGGCGAAAGGATGCGCGTGAGGCTGAGGGAGACGGCGAAGGGTGGAGGACTAACTAAGAAGCGGCGGAAAGAGGGGGTGAAAACGAACCGAAAAGAGACAAACTGCCCCCCTGCCCCGGCTGGAAGGCAAGGGAACATTGGTACAGAGGGAGAGGAAGGCCGGGAACGTGGTGAAAGGGCGATGGAGAAAGGGAAACAGCGAGTCTAGGATTGAACGGAAGAAAGAAAGAAGGGAAAGGGCGGGGGGAGAGGGGGTGGCCACGTCGCGGAGGGTGCAGCGTGTTGATATCGAGGGCGACGAAGAGGCGGAATAGCGTACGAGGCACCGCGAACGGGGCAAGGATGGAAGAAGAAGGAAGAAACCGAAAAGAGAGACCATGCTCTGTCTTCGTCTGGCGCACGGTCGCCTGCCGGGGCGAGAGAGACGGAGAGAGGGAGGGTGACTAACTGACCGAGGGTGCCAGGAGCGCAGGGGAGTAAGGATTCTGTGCGCGGGCGCGAGGCTGGCGCAAACTCTTCGTGCAGCATCCCTCGTCAGTTGCAAGTCAGGAACTGTCGCGTCCGCGTGGCGTGTGAGTGGCGAGCGTTCGAGCGAGCGAGCAAGCAAGGCAGCGAGCGAGCGCGCGCGCGCCCCAGCCTGGTGTCGCGGTGTTTTGTGCACGGATTTCGCCGGATTTCTGACAGTAACACGGCCAGCTGTCCACGCAAACGGAAGCGACGGGGCCACAGGCGGACACTGGGCCCGATGACATTTGCCCGCGCGACGCGCGTCCCTTGACACTGTCCCCGCGTTAGAACAACCGGAGAACGGAAGTCGCGGAGACCAGTCACGGGTAACCGGTGCAGAGGATCATCGTGGAAGGATCGACGCGTGCTACCAGGGTTCCCAGGATGGATAAAGACGTTCGACGGAAGTGCGGGAAAGTGCGACGTGCTCTCTTCCACCTGCTGCTGATAGTGGGGGGTAAGTTTGCGATGTTTCGGATTTTCAATTACCATCGGTGATCGACGGGTCAGTGACGAATCTCGAAACCCGAAAAATTAAGCGGATGAAAGCGGATGGCCATACACGAATGGTCCACGATAGAGAACGTTCGAGGAAAATTTAGTAAAAGGAAGTTGGGGTGTATACTCGTTGATAGAGGGTTAGGCTAAAGTGATACTACCTGAACCTGATCCCTGTCTGGAAGGACCGATGGTGGTCCTCGAAGTTTCGTTTACCGATTTGCTTCGACCCCGTCGTTCCGGAAGCACGGCGGATCTGCTGATGCAGGAAAGAGAGAGGATTACGTGCGACCCTTACCCGGAATGGGGGTAGTTTAACGCGGCTATACGGCGCGGCAGCAATTGCATCGTTACCGTTACTTTTGTCCGCTTCTCTAAGAGGACTCTAGTCGGATTTCGTGTCCGCCACCGGCGGAACTACCCCGTCCATATACTCTCTATACTCGCGTTCTCCGAGCAATTAATACCCGTTCACGTCGCTGGCCCTACTCGCGAGCCCTCTGATCAACTTTCTATTATTCCCTTCTTCGAGCACTTGGACACGACGATTTTCCCTTCCACGGGGATACGTTCAGATCCGACTGGAGGAACGCTTGGTCCAATCTACTTCATTGTCTTTTTCCCATCTGGGGATAGATCCCTGGAATTCCTCCTGTTCGCCTAATGCGTCTTATCTCTGGATATCTCGAACGTTGACCGAATTTCTCTGCTCCTTCATTGAAATCGTCTCGTTTCGAGGGTTCGTCCTCGAGCTCTTTCAGCCACCGCGAGCCACCGTAGTTTTCTCCAATTTTCCATATCAACCGCCAACGATCTCTTGCTTTCTCAGACTCGAGGCCTATAACAGGACGAGACACTCGCAGGGACAATTTCCGATTTCTTGCGGCTCTTCGACACGCAGACGAGTCCTCGAAACACTCGGAGGCTGGATATTGAAATCCCGTCGCTCTTCGACTCGATCGAAAGTAAATAATTTTTCTCGCGGCCTAGCTGCATCCCCTGCGCGAGATTTTTGCGGGAATGGATGACTCGTCGTTTCCTGGGATGACGGCCGGGATCGGAAATCGTTCATGGTTTGTTTGAAGCTGGATTTTATGTGGGCGATTTGAGCTGACGTGGATCACACCCTTTCTCGTAGATTCTGGTGATTTTGCGCTGTGCCTTATTTCGAGGCTCCTCTTCCGACGTATTAAGTTCATTTTATACGAATAATTAAGCGTCTGTCATCAGTTGGGGATCGATTCGATGCTCGCGGAATACTGCATAAATTATTATAAGAGGGAAGCCTGGTAGAAAATAATAGTCTGCGTAGTTTGCTTTGATAAATCCTACAATTCCCTTATATTAATAAAGCCAGCACCATAGCTATTTTACTCGCTTCGTTTCTCCATCATCCCTCCGCTGTCAAAAGAATTTCATCCGCGGAGCTCTGAAGATCAGAGCCTGGAATCAAATTCCAACGCAACAAAAGGGACCCAATTATTAAAATCCCGCGGCAGCTGAATTCCTCTTGTATCCCAACCCCTTCATCACAGGGAGGACATACCGGGCAACATAATCCAGCCCAGCGCTTCCAGCTTCTCCTAAAACCCCGTTGATTTCAATCTGCTAATTGCACCCTGCTTTGTTCCTGCCTCGCCGCTTCTTACAACCGGAAGCCGGGTTATCAGAATGTGAAAGGTGGCGGGATTGAAAAATCCGCGGACGAAACAGCTCGCCGGTTCCCACGCGAAATCGTTCAACAGCGGCGGGTTTTGTTCCCGGCTTTCAGCTGGCCTTGCTCTGTCAAAGGCCGCCATATCGGCGCGCACGCCGATGCTCCGATTCGTTCGGCGTTCAATGTCAAAGAGATCCTCCGGGAGGACCAGTGTTGCTTTCCATTTAAGAGCTAGCTTCGCTCGTTGCGCGGCTCGTGGCATATTGACAGAAGTTAGATGCGACATAGTCTCATCTGCCAATGCGAAAACGAATTTCGTCCAACCAAACGGGGAAATCAAACCAACACTAGACTCCGTTGTCAGCCGTAGAAAATTTTCTCTTGAGGGACTTCAGGTTAAGCATGCTATGAAATTCAACCATTGGTCTGCATGGTCTGTCCTCCATTAGGACAAGTATCGTGTCTATTATTGAGCTTCTTTGCGCAATGCCCGACTCGTGTCGTACCTCTGCATACTGACAGGTGGAATTTGCGATTTGTAAAAGGGGTTATAACGCAAAGGAATAATAGTCAGTGGAAAAATTGTTTAACTGTTCGAGTCCCAAGCAGCGCGATCGCGCTCTTCAGTCGAAATGGCGCGCTCAACTTTGCTACATCAAACTTTGCAACATCAAAAAGCGCTATTGCGACGATTGGGATTTTTCGAAATAAAATTACACAAGCGCTATCGCGCAGTTTGGACTTCTTCGCACTCGTTATCGCGCTGTTCGGGGCTTTTCGACCGAGTTCTTCCAAAAGCCTCTGGGACTCAAACGGTTAAGGCCACACGGGTCACAAGTCGTGTTCAGAAGACTGAAGACAAAAGACAAAACCCAGGGGAAGGGATCACTCACATTGCTAGGATACAGAGTTGACTTTGCTATTTAATTTTACTACAACATGATTTGATCGCCATCTATTGTAAAGTAAAAATAGAATTGATACGCAGAGATAGAAATAGCTGGAACGTTTATTCCGAATATGGTAATACAGTCATGCGACGAGGAAAGGCAACGACTGACTCGGGACAGAAACCGAAAAGCAAAAGACAAAACGAAACAAAAGTTAGTGACGACCACCTCCCGCATGTCTCCACTTCTCAAGGGCTACATTTGGCCCAAGTCGTTGAATTTCAACATATACCAATGAAACTGTCATGGTCATACCAACGGGGAAGCCAACCCGTGCTTGACACCGTGCTGCCCGAGGGAGGTACTTGATATTGACGTATTATTGTTGGGTCACTTCAGGTCCTGCATGGATATATAAGAATATATATAGGAATGCCAGTCCGAAAAGAGAAGATAATAAACAGTCGTCTTGGGTTTGGCTCGAGTGTTCGGAATATTGTCTGGAGTGCGTGCGGAAGGACGAGTGACCATGCGCAAGGATCGTGTGGACGGGATGTTTATGGAAGTATCAGTTGCATGTGAAGAGTGCGTGAGAAAACGTGATTGGGAAAAAGAGCATGGGTATGGAAGAGGATAGAGTGTATGGTTTAAAATAAGGGTACAGGAGCGAAGGAGACAATTCCTTCAGGAGTTATTGAGAGACAGTTGTGAGACAGAGTTCAGAGAGTTCTTAGTAAATAGTATTAACGGCCAGTCATTATTATTAGATATTATTAAAACCCTCCCTTACAGATATGAGATCCAACCGTTGGTCTCCATGCCTCATCTTCCGCGAGGACAGGTAGCCATCTTTGTATTTTGTATTACGCCTTTCATTTCGAACACTGCTAACCTCCCACCATTTTCTTCGTCGTTCGTTTCTCGTACTCGTGCTTGTCCAACTCGTCGTGGTAGTGGAGAGGAAGAGGAAGGGCAGAGGCAAGAAGAAAAAGGATGACAGGAACTGGGTGGAGGAGGATCGTAGAACAAGGGAGTTCCCTGCACGCGATACTCTTGCTCGGTTTTCGGGGAAAGCGATCCGACGTTCCACGGCGCGAACGGAAGTCTGGCCCGGTTGTTTAAGGGGAGACTTGCCGAGTAAATTCTTAATTCAACGTGGCTGCGCGAGGCGCGCGTCTCGCCCGAGATCCCCGCTGATCTAATTCAATTTGCCCGCTCTCTCCGCCCCGTCACGCTGCCGCGGTTCCATCCTCGAAAACGGAACCAGCCCGGAACGGAGAATTTAATTCGCCGATTGTGCACCCTTGCTGATCCTTCGAAAGGATTGCTTCGAGGGGGTCAGGCTTTTTTCGTCCACGGGATAAAGGTGTCTCTTCGGCGCCGCTCATCCCGATGCTTCCCCAGACCCCCACACTCTGTCGCTTTCTCGAGGATCACTTGGAATTTCTGCTCGAACGTGTATGGACCTCGACGAATCCTTCTCTCATCGCGGG